CTGTTGAGTACCCCAGGTTATAGCTCCATGTTGAGAATGCACTATATTCGTTTAAGTTTACGGTTATTTTGTTCTGTTTATGCACTCGGGGGTGGAGAGAGGCTTCACGTACCCCTCTGGAAGAAGTACACTACTCATATGTTCAGTTGTGAATGCAGATCATACACAGCAATTTGTAGAGCTGAAGCTTTATCAGTTTCTGAGAAATTGATGTTTGAATATGGAGCTGAATATAATCACCTAAGACAAGATGGCTGCCAGGCAATGTGACCTATGACCTTCATGTTGCAATAGTTTGAGCATAGCAGAGAGCTCTACCATTGGGCCAAGTTGCATCAGTTTGTGGGTAACAGTGTGCTTATAACAGGCTTTTGAAAAAACATCATCTAAACACCATTGGCTTGTAGCGGCCATTTTGATTGTGGGATCGGGCCAGTTTCTACAACCGTGGTAGAAGAGGTCGCACTGGACATATGTGCAAAGTTTTGAGTTATTCTGATAAATAGTTTCAGAGTTTAAGTTGTTGGCAGAATATTGCACAATCCAAATTGGCGGCCAAACCATGTGACCAATAGCGCTACAATGAGCTCATGTGGCAACAGAGCAAAGCATACAATCACACAGCAAGTTGTACATCTGTAGCTTTAGCGGTTCTGGAGATGCAGGTTTCTGAATAGTTGACAAAAATCGTCACAAAAACCAAGATGGCTGCCACATCATGTGACCTACAACCTTTATATTATAATAAGCTCTGCAGAGCACAGGGCTGTAGCATTTTGCAAAGTTTCATGAGTTTTTGAGTCACAGAGCACTTGTTACAGACATTTGAAAAAAGTGGCGGAATAATAATAATAAAATATAGCTGCAAGCAGCAATAAAGGTGGCCAAGCAGTAGAGCCGGTCATAGCACATGAGAAGATATTGTAGTTAGAGGGATGAAAAAAAAGGACATGATTTTATGAATTATAAAAAAAATCAAATTCAAAATGGCCGCCAACCTTGGTGACCTCTGGATGCCATTTTGTATTTGGCAGTTATGATGTTGAGTTATCATATGTGTAACATGTATAACATACTTCAATAGTGATAGAAATGCACATTTATGCAATTTGATGCAATGTTGAAAGTGATTGGCTTGTGGCGGCCATATTGATTTTGGGCTCGGGCCTGGTTTTACAACCGTGGTAGAAGAGGTATCCCTGGGCATATGTGCAAAGTTTGGAGTTATTCTGATAAATGGTTTCAGAGTTTAAGTTGTTTGCAGAATATGGCACAATCCAAAAGGGCTGCCAAACCATGCGGTCACATGACTTGTGACAAACATGTATGACTGGAGAGCTCAGTATAATCTCACATATTAATTTGTATATCTGTAGCCTTAGCGGTTATGAAAAAACAGATGTTTGAAAATTGTCAAAAACAGGTTTGCTTAAACCAAGATGGCCACCAGAGCATGCGACCTATGACCTTTATGTTGACAAAAATTAGGATCGGGCCATTTTCTACTACCGTGGTAGAAGAGGTCGCCCTGGACATATGTGCACAGTTTTGAGTTATTCTGATAAATGGTTTCAGAGTTTAAGCTGTTGGCAGAATATTGCACAATCCAAATTGGCGGCCAAACCATGTGACCAATAGCGCTACAATGAGCTCATGTGGCAACAGAGCAAAGCATGCGATCACACAACAAGTTGGACATCTGTAGCTTTAGCGGTTCTGGAGATGCAGGTTTCTGAATAGTTCGCTAAAATCATCATAAAAACCAAGATGGCTGCCACATCATGTGACCTATGACCTTTATATTACAATAAGCTCTGCAGAGCACAGGGCTGTAGCATTGTGCAAAGTTTCATGAGTTTTTGAGTTACAGAGCACTTGTTACAGACATTTGAAAAAAGTGGCGAGTTACAGAGCACTTGTTACAGACATTTGAAAAAAGTGGCAGAATAATAATCATAAAAATAATAATAATCTGAACAGATACAATAGGTGTCTAGCAACTTTGTTGCTTGGCCACCTAATAATAATAAAAATAATCAGCACAATAACAAGAGGTGTCCTTGCAACTTCGTTGCTTGGCCACCTAATAATCTGAACAGATACAATAGGTGTCCTTGCAACTCCGTTGCTTCCCCACCTAATTAGAAACTTTGCAATATCCTAAAGGGAGTGGGGGTCTGGTACTCACTAATCCATGGATATTGTTTCTAGCCACACAGCTAAGACACTTAGTCCGCTGGACTTTTTCCAGCTCAAGGACATCTTTTCTGAGCACTGGTGACCAAAACTTGACCACATACTCCAGATGAGGCCGAACCAGTGATCTGTAAAGTGGCAAAATTATAGACTTGTCTCTGCAGTACATTCCCTTCTTAATACAAGACAGGACTCTACTTGCTTTGTTTACAGCAGCCTGACAGTATTGCAAATATATGATCAGGGTGTACTATGTTCTTTTCAGCAATTACAAGCAACCTATTAATTAACTAACACCCAATTTTATAAATATTTACAATTGAGACATGCGCTTATGGTACATCCAGGTATACGAGATGTATGTATTAGTACAAATATGGCTATAGATAAACTTTTCCATGCAACTATGACAAGTGGGATGATCTAAAAAATGTATTCAAGTCTATTACCCAGGGGTTTGAATAAATCACCTATGAAGTGTAAAGAGGGCTTGGAATCGGATTTGGGCCCATTCGAATATACCCTATGGGGGGAGGCATTCCAAATCGTTTTACCATTTGCAACACATAAACTAACACAATTTTATTTTATACATAGAACATATCGGACCTCTGAGTTCCTACATAAGATAGGACTCAGGGAAAATTCTAAATGCTAAAAATGTGGGTTTGAACCAGGCTCGTTGATACATCTGGTTTGGAGATATGCGAAGTTGAAACGATACTGGCCGGAAATAGTGGATATAATAATTATAGCTTTTGGAGTTCATATTTCTAATATTCCATTGATATGTATTTTGGGATCTCTAAATGTGGAGTATTATGTGAAAGTGGGCACTGTTTGTCGCTCAGCGAAGTATAGCGTTTAGGTGGATTTCAGCAAAGCCTCCCACCACGGAGGAGTGGAAGAAATAATTAGATAGAGTGGTTAGGTGTGAGGAAATAACGTTTAACCCCTTCGTGACTGACGACGTACAGTGTACGTCGCCAGCATCGGGGCTGTTTAAACAGACTCCCGGCGACTTTTGCCGCCGGGACTCTGTTTAAACTTGTAGAGCCGACTGTCGGCTTTACAACAGAAGCAGTCATGAAGGGGTTAAACATCGAGGTAGTATGGATAAATATGGTAAAATGTGGGACAAGTGGATTGAATATTGTGATGGTGTATGTGTATAATGTGAGATTCCTTTGCTACTGGTATTGCTGGAAGAAATTGAATTTATGTAAATTGGTACGCTGAGAAATTGTATATGCAGTCTTTTTTTTTTTTTTAGGTTGGTCTGTTGTTGTTTTGATGATGTATCTATGGGTGTAAAAAAATCTTCTTTTTGTAATGTTATAATTAAAATTAAAAAAATATATTAAAGTAAAAAAAATAGTAGATGCTATGTAGCCTAATATTAGAAATCCTTTAAAATTAAGCAAAAAAGATGAACGGTAAATGTAATATTTGAGTGGTTACGCTGTTGTAGAAATTTTATCAGGATGTGTTTTTACTGTATTGTAATATTGTCATCATGCCTCCCTGTGTCGGATTCAACCAAGTAGCGCTCTAGCAGAGCGTACTTGGGTTAATCAGGACCAGCGGTAAAACCGTCAGTATTCAACCTTCTCATGGGCTTGGAGACGTGTTCACATTGTGTGGGGGCGTTTGCCGGTTGGTGAGCATTAATTGCAATGCTTCTTGCCTTCAAACGTCTATGCACCTTAGCGAAGCGAAGTCCGCATAACAAGAGATACATATTATACCTCTATTGCGACTGCGCTATCCCTTTTGGATACATATCTGCTTTTATAAGAAGACATTGATATCTGCCTTGTCAGTGTGCTGGTACCGTATATAGACAACCGCAGTAGCAATGTCTCCTCAGATAGTTTCAAACCTATAAGAACAAGTAGAATGATTTTACTAGATACTGGTCACTCTGAGCCGTCACTCTGAATGTGGGTCCATGCTGGCCAAGATGGCAGATGTACATACATGTGGCAAGGAAGGGTCATGCTCTGCTCCTCTGTTGTCACTTCCTATGATGTCATTGTGCATGGAGGAAATGGTAGGCTGTTGGCGCCGCCCTTTCCTGTTATCATTTTGATGCCGATTGGCTCACTCAGTTATGTTGATGATTGGACCATCACTTCCTGTTTGTGATCCTTTTATTGATATATAAATAAATGGAGCTTCGGTGGAGGGAGACACACTTGGACACAGAACCTCCACCATGAAGCATCTCGTCTGACTCTGCATGAGTGTTGCCTTTCCTTGCACAAAAGAGCTTAATACAACTACGTGCTTTTAAGCGCGACGGAATTGTTTGTGTTTGGCGCACTTTTAGCACGGTATAGATTTGTGCGCTTAGCCCAAGCGAATTTACATAAAAACGCTTAACTCCTTTTTTAGGATTCTTCAATGATGACACATGATAAATAGAATAATCCCTCACTAACTTGTTCAAACTGACTTTTTGGACATATAATTTGATCTTTAAAAAAATCTGTAAGCCCCTATGCCCCCACCATACACACACACCTCTTGCTTCCTAATCTCTTTTATATTCTAAATGTATTAGGTGGAGGGGGGAATATCTCTCTCAGGCAATGGATGTCTTCACAAAAGATTGCTGAGGTTCACAATTTTAGGCTGACCTACTATCTAAAATAGCAGGACTATATCAAACAAGTAAAATACACAGAAATAATAACTTATATCCCCTAACCCTTGTGCAATGTATTTTTCATAAACCATGTTTAATTAGTTTTTTTGAAAATGCTTTATTAAATATGTAATATTTCCTTTTTGACTTTCAGATGGAAGGCAAAGAAATTGAACTGGAAAATGACTTGAAGCCCTTGCAGTTTTATTCCATAGAAAATGGAGACTGTTTATTAGTTAGATGGTGATAAATCAATCAGCCTTTTTTTTATGAATATGGAGAACATCTCAAATAAACAATGCATCCATACATACAATGCATATATATTAAACATTTATTGTACTATCCTCAAATTACTGTGTTTTTTCTTGTTCTTTGACTCCTGTGTTTATGTTTTTAAATTACTCAAAATGATGGGGGAAATGTAATGTACAAGCACCACAGTGTTTATATCATATGTTAATATGATATGGTGCTGATGCAAACCCATAAAGTACACTAACCAAGAGTTTCTGATTTTTTTTTTATAGTATTTATAAATGTTATAATTTGCTCAAGGAGGGAAGCAGGTAGGCAGGATTTATCGGAAAAGCTTCTTTTTTTAAATGTTTTTTTCTTTTGGCCAGGAAGCCTCAATGCACCAAAAAAAAAACAATGAACACACATGCTTTGGGTTGTTTTTTGACCATTTAATTTTTTGGGATGTATTTTTTTCATCCAAATACAGATTGTGGGATCCCAGCTTTAGTAAATTTATTTTCAAAAATGCCATCTGCTCCATGTGGTGGGAACCAGTTGTGAGCGCCGGTGAGACGAAAAAATTTCTGTAATGAAAAAGACCCGCTCACTCTGCACCATGTTGGGGGGTGGGGCAAGACAGGAGCTCCTAGGCAACTTCTGACAGAGAAGGCTAAACATCCCTCTTGTCCTACCAGAATAGTATGGGATCGGAATAGTAACAGTCAAGTGCAATGGTGGGTTGAAAAGGTAAGCCCTAACCATATCTTGCGATGAGTTGCATTTCCTGGGGGGCACTATAGTGGATCCCATGAAAAGTTACAAGTAGTCCCGTGGTACAGAGCTCTTCGAAGGGGGGAGGTGTGGGCAGAGGCGTCACTACTTGGTGTGCTGCTTCTTGTGCGTGCGGACTGGGGTGTTCAATGTTTGTAACAGGAAAACAAAAAGTAGGTTAGGAAGCGCCACAACCAAGCAGAGACCTGTCGGAAAGTGGAGGTCCACGTGGACTCTGGGCTGTTAGGTGGGTTTTGGAGTAATGTTGTTGAGGATAGGCATGATGGCGAGGATGGATCCAGGGGTTGGTGGTGTTGTACCCTCCGGTTATTGGCGGAGGGAACCAGAGTGGGGAATAGAGATGGCGGAAAGATGAATCAAGAAGCGTTTGGTCACTTGTGATATGTAGAAACTCACCATAAAGTTGGCGGTGATGCAATGTCATTGATGAAGGTTGAGGTGACTTTCTTTGAATCCTAAGTGTTGTGGTCGGTGAGTTCAGGGTCGATCTTGTTCAAATTTGGAAAGGAAGAGATGGTGTCCAGTTTTGGCATCTGATTGGTGTCCTTGGGGCGATGGTGCGTGGGTTGCAGCATTAGGGCTGTTGTGGTGTAATGGCAGTGGTTCCTCAAAAAAAGTCCTGGGCTGATTGGGTATGTTCTGTTGGAGCTTTACCCCAGTGGAAATACAGGGGGTCTGCTTTTCCAATGGTTGTGCCCCTGAATGTGGCCGGAGGTGTGTAACTGATGAGGCTTCTCACTGGTGAGCCTGAGGGCTCATACAATCTGATCCTCAGGTGAAGGTAGGGAGGGGAGATGGTTCATTCACAGCAGTGTGGGAGGGCATGAGTTAACACTTACTTACACACACCGCCGGGATGAAGGTGTGCGTGTGTGTTGCGGCTACCAGGCACTGTGATGCTGGAGACTCTCATGCCTGGAGCCGTGTAGTGAAGGAGCAGCCTGATCGTGATGATCAGGGCGGACGGGAGTGAAGAGGTGATGGGGTTGGGTATGAGAACACGTTGCTCGTGGGCACTGACTTTAGCCCAAGGCAATGAGCGGTGTGTCAAATGAACAAAAGTACATACTGAACTTCAGTGGAGAAAGTGTTTTTGTAGAGGGATGATCGAGGACACGCCGCTCGCGGGCACGGAGCCAACCCAGCGTCGGAGAGTTGTGTCAGAGGGATTAAAGGCAACACGTTTCGAAGAACTCGTCTTCTTTATCAAGCCGGGGTGCAAGAAATGTGTTGGCGGGAAGAAGGATTTTTGAATGCAGAGGAGTGGGTGGAGCCTTCAAAGGGGGGTGGCCTTTGGTGAGAATAAAAACTCAATCTAGCGGGGATGGTGAGGGAAATGTTTTGAGATGTGAGGCATATGTGCATGGGGTGGCAAAGTATACACCTTAATCATTTGACGCGATCTGTTGAGGATAGAAAGCAGGGGCTTGGAGGGTGGAGGAAACCTATATGGATATAAGGAAGGCGGGAAATGTTGGAAAAGGTTTTCTGTCAAATATGACAAGTTAGGGATAAAGATGTGAAACAATGAAAAAATTAGCAAAGTTGAAACAGGATGAAGGGGTGTTTATTCTGTATTAGATGCAAAATGCCTGGAGCAGTGGAGCTGGTTAATGAAATGTTTAACGATTTAGTTACCGTCTGGGGCAAAAGGGCATCAGGTGGTGGGGCCAGGGTAGGTGATGGCAGGGGAAATGTTTACAACTTTATGTTTGGTGTGTTTGTAGGAGGGGTATGGTTTTTTATTTACTTTATGAAAGGAAGGAGTAGGAGGGTGGGAAATGTTTTCCATAAAATAGGGATGTATTTGGGGAAAATTGGAAGATAATGTGGGAAATGTTTTCTGTAAAAAGGGATGTATTGGGAAAGGAAGAACCCATCTGTAATGCAATCTAATCCTGGTGGGAGGGGGGGGGATTAAGGGTAAAGTTTTGTTATTCAGTTTTGTTACTGAAGGTGCATAGTGGGGATCAGATAATCGTGTTGATTTCTAGTTCTTGGTTTAGGCCATAAGGCTAAGTTCACATCTAGGCGTATTGAATATGCGTGTTTGTCGCGCATTTCGCGTCACGCGTTTTTACCGCGATTCATTTCCGAGGGCTACTTGGCTGTATCCCAATGGAAACGTGAGACCAAAACGCCCCAAAGAAGTAAATGTATTTCTTTGGGCGTAGGCCGTTTTGTAGCGCGATCAGACGGGCTGAAATACGGAAAGGTGTGAACCATACCCATAGAAAACAATGGGGTTTTCAAGTTTGTACGTTTTGTAGAGCGTTCATAGAGCGTTGAACGCGCGACAAAACGTAAAGGTGTGAACAGGGCCTAAGGGGACAATGTGTTGAGTTTATAAATCCAATTTGTTTCCTATTTACTAGGGCTGGTAATGATTAAAATTGTCCTGTTCGATTAATCAAAACATTTTTTTATCGATTAATCAACTAATTTCGATTAATTATAACGCACATACAGATCCAACTACTTTTAGCTGATCTGCTTGCAATGCAACTCTGCATTAGTCAGTGGTAAATGTGGTATACACTATATACAATCACCCAACACTAGTTAGTTTCCACAATCCATGACTTAACTTCACAGTTCACACAAATACGTTTTAAATTCAAACTGTAGCACTGACGTAGCCCTGGATAAAGTAGGGTTCAGTGGGGTCTCACTAGTCCTGGTTAAACCCCACAAAGCCCTGCTTTAACCAGGGCTATGTAGGGTCTCACCAGACCGGTTAGACCCCTCAGAGCCCTGGTGAGATCCCACACTGCCCTAGTTAAACCCGGGCTCTGTAGGGTCTTACCAGCACCAGGGCTCCGTAGGGTCTCACCAGGGCTCTATGGGGTCCCACCATGGCTATGTGCGATTTCACCAGCCTGGTGAGACCCCTCAGGGATCGGTGAGACGCCAAAGAGCCCTGGTTAAAGGGCTCTGTGGGGTCTCATCAGAGCTTTGAGGGGGGCCTCACCTGGGTAGCAGGGCTCTGTGGGGTCTAACCAGCCTTGTTAGACCCACAGAGCCCTGGCAAGACCCCACAGAGCCCTGGCAAGATCCCACAGAGCCCTGGCAAGATCCCACAGAGCCCTGGTCTCACCAGGGCTCCATGGGGTCTCACCATGGCTTTGTGGGGTCTCACCACGGCTCTCTGGGGACTCACCAGGGCTCTGAGGGGGTCTCACCAGGGTAGCAGGGCTCTGTCTCACCAGGGCTCTGTGGGGTCTAACCAACTTTGTTAGACCCCACAGACAGCTGTTGAGACCCCACAGAGCCCTGATTAAACCAGGGCTCTCTAGTGTCTCCACAGGGCTCTCTAGTGTCTCCACAGGGCTCTCTAGTGTCTCCACAAGGCTCTCTAGTGTCTCCACAAGGCTCTCTAGTGTCTCCACAGGGCTCTCACCATTGCTGTAGCCTGTGAAGGCTGCCTCTCACCAGGACTGTGCAGGTAGCGTTATAATAAATCTCTCGTTCATTTATTATAAATGCTCATTCACATTACCTAAAAAAGCACCCTTAGCACTGCACATTCATTATATACATATTTTGGCCTCAGTGTCTTTAGTGCAGCAGCTTTAATATTGGTTACTCATATCTCCCATTGTTCCATAAGCGCAGATTTTACATGATATTTTAGCTTGTAGACATTGTCCACACATTCGATGCAATCATGAACCATGAGACTCACCGGCCCAAGTGATTCCGTCAGGTAATGAAGGGAAGGGGGAGGAGTCCGGTGACCTCCTTCCCTTCATTAGCCGTCACGGACGACGTCACCGGGCTCCTCTCCCCTTCCCTTCGTTAGCCGACAGAGCCACTTGGGGAAGGGGCGAGGAGTCCGGTGAAGTCGATGTCCGTGACATCACCGGATCTCCGACGGAAGACCCGGAAGCCGGCGGAGAGGTGAGCACCAATCAAAATAATTTTGATCGATCAAAAAAATTAACGATTAGTCGATGGATTAATCGTTAATTTCCGCAGCCCTACTATTTACATAAAAGGTGGAGTCTTTCGGAGGGGGGTCGTTTGTCGGGGATTTGCTCTATCGCAAAAACCTTTTAGTGCTCAGTGTTTTTCTCGTGTTTCAGAAGAAAATGGCGTGGGACACTATGTTCAATGCAGCCCTGTTCGATGAACCTCCTGTGTTCCCCGATACGTTTGCGGAGGGGGTGAATGGTGCGGCCTATGTATTGGAGATTGCAGGAGCGTTGGAGGCCGTAGACAACATAGTTGTGTGCACAG